ATCACATTTTTTAACATGCAAACACACACACCACACACATACATATACACACACGAGTAAACTTTCATACAAACATACACACGTACAAGCATACAAACAAACATACACACGTGCATTCAATAGTATGCACTAGCAGAAGATATCAATCAAAAGGATGATGATGTTAATGATGATGATAAAACAGTAGAACACAATGATAAAATTACAATGAAATGATGTAGTAATGACGAAGAAAAACAGCACAGAACAAATTAAAATGTTCTTAAAATGTAAAAATGATCCAAAGAATAAAATTGCATTTCTATCATCAAATAAAAATAAATTGTTTTTTTTTGTCAACTGGACGGCGAAGGCAACATATTTTGTATGAAAGAAAGAAAGAAAGAGACTAATGTTAAAAACAAAGTCCAAAAAAATTCGAAACTATTGTCTTATCATTATCATTCTGCCCATTACACCACCATCCTCACCATCACCACCATCATCATCTTCTTCTACGTCATCATCATCATCTTTTTCTACACCATTACCACCACCACCACCATCAGCATTATCGAGATAATAACCACAAAAAACGCCAGCCCCCCATCGCACTAATCATTTTCATCTCATCATAAAATCACCACATTCTTATCATCTTCATCAATTTCCTTTTTGCTATCATCATCGTCCTCTTCATCATCATCACCTTCAGCATCATCTTCTTCATAATCATCACCTTCTTTCATCTCATACATTACACCGCCTCATCGTCGTCACTAAGCCCTACTCATAAACATCCTTCACTTCCTCCATGTCTTCCCTCTTATTACCGTTAACACCACCATCATCACGACTATTATTATCATTACTATCTTCCTAATCATTATCATCATCAGCACGTTTATCAATATACTCATCATCATCAGGACCATCATCAGCTTCTTCCTATTATTCCTTCTCATCACCATCTTTCCCCTCCTTCTCCAGCTCATCATCAGCTTCTTTTTATTTTTTTCTCAGCATAATGTTCCTTCATCATCATCCTCATTTTCTCATCCAGCTGATCAGTAGACCCAGCCGACGGGGACCCACTGTGGGTTCTTGTTGACGTGTTCCATGGCAATCTCCAGCTCCCTGATGGTCTCATCGATGTCGTTGTTGACGATCTTCAAGTCGAATGTGTGGCGGTACGTTTGCTCCAGGTAGTTGCTCTCCCGAGCCAGGCGCTCCAAACTGGAGTCCTGGTGTTAAAGGTGGCGGTGGTGGGGTGATGTAGTGAAGTGTGGTGATGTGTGGATAACGTCGTGTGGTTAGTTGAAGGTGTGGTGATGTGTGGATGGCGTCATGTGGTCACGTGAAGGTGTAGTGATGAGTGGATAATGTTGTCAATTGAAATGGTTACGCTACATTGTTTAATGGTGATAAAATATTGATTGAAGAAATGTGTGCAAGAACATGTCTTTCGACGAGGTATTTTGTGGTGTATCATCTGGTTAATTATTATCCTTTGAATCATCAACACATTTACTGTTCAAAGTCATAAGCCTATTAATCATCAGTCATATCATCTTCACCAAAATCATCGTTAATTCATTCTCCTTATCATGAAATCATCATCATCGTCATCATCATCATATTCATCGTCATCATCATCATATTCATCGTCATCATCATCATATTCATCGTCATCATCATCATATTCATCGTCATCATCATCATATTCATCGTCATCATCATCGTCATCAGGACGAACATTCATGAGGGCGATGTTGGTTGGGGCGGCAATGAAGACAACGAAGGGAGCATATTCAGCTGTCCTCAGGATCTTCAGGGCCTGAGTGATCGAGGGATAGGTTGGTTTGTAGGATGAATGATCGATCGAGTGATTGATTGATTGAATTGTGGATAGACAGATTGATTGATTGGTTAGTATTGGTTGGGTGAACAATTAATTGATGAATAATTGATCATAAATAAATGGAAAATAAGTTTCAAATGCAGTCAGACCAAAACCGGCCGGAAATAAAAAAGAGACCAAAGACACCAAAAAGTACCTGTGGCTCGATGTCGAGTATAGCGACGAGACCCTGCCTATGTATCTGCCGGATGGTCTCCAGCTTGGTACCATAGATGGCGCCCTCGTGTGTGCCGTACTCCAAATATTGATTGTCCGCTATCTCGGCTGTCATCTGCTCGTGCGAGATGAAAAAGTAGTTGCGGCCGTGCTCCTCGTCTGGTCTTGGCTGCCTTGTTGTGTCTGTGTGTTTGTTGTTTGGCTGCCTTGTTGTGTCTGTGTGTTTGTTGTTTGGCTGCCTTGTTGTGTCTGTGTGTTTGTTGTTTGCCTGCCTTGTTGTGTCTGTGTGTTTGTTGTTTGGCTGTCTTGTTGTGTCTGTGTGTTTGTTGTTTGGCTGCCTTGTTGTGTCTGTGTGTTTGTTGTTTGGCTGTCTTGTGCGTGTGTTTGGTTGTCTTGTTTTGTGCGTGTGTGAATTAAGTATTTCATTTAACTTTAACGCTATTTCATTTGGAACTGTGCCTCAATAGTTTAAGAATTAACATAATATTCATTCTCGTTTCATCACTTTAATAAACATCATCATCATTATCGCCATCATCATCATCATCGCCATCAACATCATCATCATCATCATCGCCATCAACATCATCATCAACAACATCACGTACGTGGTATGGGATAGGCGTACTTGTAGGACTGCCTGGTGATGAAGAGGTTCTTGATGTGACGCCTACCCACACCATGGGCACCTGGATGGTCAACATGGTCAGGGAAGAAAGATTGCATTGCTCATTACAATGAAGATGATGTCATATTTGAAGATGATGTCATATTTGACCATATATGAAATATTTGAATCATGCATAAACTGCTAATAAGCTATGTCATTTATTTCACTTTCATCAAAAGCCCCACCATAGTCATCTCCACATCATTGTCACCACTACTATCATCATCATCATCATCCATATCATTAGCAGCATCTTCCGGCAGACTCACCCAGCAAAACAAGAGTCTTCCTGAGGAAGGAGGGCAGCCTGATGACTTCCTCGTAGGTGTTCAGCTCCAACTGATCAAACAATGAATTATGCTTCACCAGATACTTGTCCTGCTTGCCACCACTACCACTGCTGCTGCCGCTGTGGTGGTGCTGCTGGCTGCTCGAGGAACCGATGCGCTTGCGTCTCAGGAGCCAGGAGCCTGTTTGTTCATTAATTCATTGGTTAGTTAGTTGGTTGGCTAAGCTGAATAACTCCGTTAAATTTAATACTATCATCATTTCATCATCATCCCCACTACCAACATCATCACCATCACCATTATTTTTCTTCTTTTTTCTATCTTCTTCGGCCACCCGATATTCCTGCTGTTCAGGAGATGGGAGGAGCTTGGCCGGGGAATTTTTTGGAGAATTCCAATGTCGAGCTGTAATGAATATGGTGAAGGTGGTGAGTGTACGATGATGATGATACAGTGATACAAATAGTGATAACATGTAGCATCATCATTCAGCAATTTATATTCTATAATCAAAGTCATTAATGTAACAATCGCACAGATGAAGCCAAACGCTATCGCTACCACCTCTTCATCCTACCACCATCGCAATCACAATTTACTTGCACCATCATCGTCGTCGTCATCATCATCACAAGCAACCTTGCCACCAGAGCGAATCATCCTGGCAGACGACCCTCAAGATGTCCCCCACCTCGAACTTCAGACCGGCCTGCCTGCTCGGTATGTAGGGGTCCGTGTTCGGATCGTACGAGAACAGGGCCCTCACGAATCTCTGATGACCATCAACACCATGACATTATTAACATAATTAATATTAGTAAATAATAATAATATTATTAATAATAATGCGTCCTTCATTCATATGGCGTGGAGGTGAAATAGTTGAAGGAGCTCAATCCTGCTTTGCAGCCTCACTGATGAAATGAAAAACGATCCCTGCCAACCGTGCGCACAGTGTACGTGCGTTGTTCGAGTGAGTGGAGTGGAAGGGAGCGACATTGAGGGATGATCTATCACCACCAGAGACCTTTAATATTAGTTTCGCTCAAACACAACGTGCTGAACAACGCTTTTTAGCAATGTTAAATTTTCCTTTTAATTTTTAAGAACTAAAATTTTTTATTGTTTAAAATTCTTAATTAACTATTTTCAGCCTTTTGCAACTCATATGGAAATGCTGACATATTCAAGAAAAAAACTGCCGATTCTGTACAAAAATGTATCAATACATCTGTTGAAGAAAAATTAAAGCGGTGTTGTTTTCGCAAGATGGTGATGCGGTGGCTGTAACAACGGATGGTTGGACGTTCAGAAACAATGACCCGCTCATTGCCATTGTTGCCATTGCACTTACTGAAGCACACGTTACCGAAAACTATCAGACGTAAAGGGTGCAACAATCGAAAAAAGTTTGCGGTCAGAAATAACGAGAGGAAAACTGAAAAAAGAGTGAAAGAGATTTTGAAAGTAAAAATATTACAAGAGCAAAGTTGTTGTACAGAAAAATCGATTTGAAAGTGAATCTCAAAGATTATTTATGTCTGAGAATTGATAATAATCTAGACTATATATTAATGATGATTATATTGATTATATATGAGTCTGATATACGACCATACAAATGGTGGATTATTGATTAGGTTAATAGGAAAATTCAAGAATTAATCGGTGTAGGTTAATCACTAAATCTTGTGCTAAATATTCGGAACAGAAGTTTTTGAAGTTAATTAATTTTTTTGGTTTAACACAATTTATAGATGTTCCAAAGAGATATCGCAGAAAACAAAAAAAAGTTCTTGATTTAATTTTTGTTGAAGTTAATGACCCTATGCTAGAGCAATTATGGTTGTGTAAATTTTGTTTGAATGTCAATCCTATCAAAAGACAAGGATCGTTATCCCCATTCTCAAACCTGGCAGATCAGATAGTCAGATAGCAAAGCAAAATCTTACCACCCAATATCCCTACTATGCCGGCCGCAAAAGTATTAGAAAAATGCCTGCTGCCGACCACCACTGTGCACCTTGGCGAACCACCAACACGGTTTTCGTCCAGACCACTCAACAACCCCATGATGGTTACTGACATCACCAACGGCCTCAATCAGAAAAGACCAGCACACCGTTCAATCCTCACAGGACTGGACCTCACAAAAGCCTCCAACACAGTCAATCATCAAACCATACTCTCCGACCTCCTGTCATCATCGCTCCCAAGATGATGAAATGTATGCCACTGTGATGTAACGATTAACGTTCTTTCGGATAACTTAAAATTAGGAAAGCCAGTATATAGTAGAATATTAGATGATGATTACTACGATGATGATTACTACGATGATGATCATTATGATGCTGAAAATTTTGATGACGATTAAACAGATTGCAATTTGACGTGCAATTCGAAAAATGATGAAACACTGAAAACGAAAAATCTTTCATTGATGAAAATGCCATTATCATTGCCTCTATAATCATAGTCATTATTATCATCATCATCATGGAAACAACAACATCCATATGATCATAATCATCACTCTCATCATCCGATTATCATCACCCCCACCATCATCGTCACTATCATCATCATCACCTCTGAATGCATTGGCTGACTTCTTGAGGTTTGAAGTATTTTGAAGGACACATTTCCCCTGCATTCTCTCTGTTCAGTCAATAATTAAATAATCAGCCAACTAATCAACCAACCAATCAATAAATCAACCAACCAACCAACCAACCAGCCAATCAATCAGTCAATCAGCTAACTAATTAGTCAAATTGAAGTAGCAATAGTAATTCAATAAAAAAAACTCAAAGACATCCTAGATTTCTCATTATCAAATTCATCATCGTTATCACCAGAGCCACCATAATCATCAAAATGATCATTTTCATTCCATCACCATCATCAAAAATCACGCCAAAACATCTTCATTACATTACATCATCATCATCATCATCATCATCATCAAATCCTACCATCATCAAAATCGTCATCACATCATCATCATCACAACTGACCACCAATCTCTGCATGTTTTCCAAAGACAATCCATCCACAGTCTGACCATTGATTTCAAGGATTTGATCACCAACATGAAGTGTTCCTGATGATGATGACGGTGATGATGATGACGGCGATGATGATGATGATGACTGTGACGATAGTGAGAATGATGACAATTGAAGACATGATGACGTTTATGATGATCATGATATAAAGAAAACCTCAATTCTATGATCGTTCCTATCAGCATCACAATCTTCTTCATCATTACGACCATCAGCATCAGCATCATCTCCACCATCATCATCATCATCATCACCACCACGACCCTACTCACCATGCCTGTGTATGAGACCACCGTCCATGATCCTCGACACCATGCACCTCCCGTCACTCGTCAACTTGAATGTAATGCCCTTGTGGTTGGTTGGTTGGTCACGTCACAATAATAATAATAACAATAACAATGATAATAACAAAGATACTACTAATAATAAAAATATTTGCAGAGAGCTTCGACTACCTATCTCATTTTAACATTAAGATACTGAAATTCTCAACCTACATTGGCCATTCAGCTGCATTCTTAACTATTTTCTTTTTCCTCTATCAGTATAAGATTTTATCAAATTTAAAAGACAAACATAGTTCTTCTAATTAACTTAGTTTATATTATTAACTCTTTGGCTTGGATATAAATAATATGAAAGTCACAGCAACTACTATGGCAAAACTTGAGTAGCATACTTTGTACAACAGTGATCTCTCATTACTTGTTATTTTATCAATATTTGAAAAAATATTGATCGAGTATCACTAAAAATACGTCAGTAATTTTTCAACGTTCTGATGTTGGCTACCAACAAGAAAACCACGAACCGAAGTTTAAAAAATTTTGGGAACATCTCCCAAGATAATTTACTCTTACTATCTGCAATTTATTTGAAAAACTTTTGATAAAAATAATTTTGTAACAAAAAAACAAAGTTTACGATTCTGAGTCACATTAATAATAACAATAGTAATAATAATAATAGTAATGATAATAACAGAATGATTAATATAATTATTAGAATAGAATATTGCACAACGAATATGAAACCGTTAAAAAATTGATGTCGTCACTAAAGAGCAGAAAAACATCCGTTGTTAATGTAATCACATCACATTAAATGTGAAGGCAACAGACAACAAAACAACGATGGAACCATTATGCAGAGAGAAAAAATTTATTTGAAAATAAAAAAAAACTAAAATTAAATAAATGAAAAGATATTAACCATAGGTTCGTCTGTATTTTTTTGGAACTGCACCAACCTCACCCTCAAAATCTTGTCGACTGTATTGTTGTTGCTGCTGCTGCTGTTGCTGTTACTACTCTTCAATGTGTTGCTGGAGTAAGTATTGATGCCATTATTGTTGTTGTTGTTGTGTATGATACTGTTGTTTTCGCTGTTGTTGTTGTTATTATTATTGTTGTTGTAGTTGCTCCTCAATGTATCACCACCAAAAAATGATCTTTGGTCCAAGTTGTTGCTGAAACCGTTGTTGTTGTTGATGTTGTTACCGACGCTGATTGTTAATTGGCTGGACTGATCAGCCAATCGTAGCTCAGCTAATGAGTTCCTCTTGCCCGCAAGCAGGTCATGCACAGTGATCATGTTCTGTCATGAAACGGAGGTAAAAGACATAATCAATCTTTTCTGCTATTCTCTCTCTCTCTCTTTCTCTCTCTCTCTCTCCTTCTCTCTCTCTCCCTCTCAATTTTCAACATATTAAGCCTGCCCCATAAAATATCACGAAGCATATATAATTAGAATAAATAAAACACACCAATGCAACAAATACAGACCAATAACAAAACTATCAATCAACAAACAACAGAAACAACAACAAATAAAAATAACGACGGGACAACAACTGAAAACGACGACAAAACACACAAATGGACAATAGCAATGAGAGATAATCAGACAAATCAGGGAAGGGCTGAAAAAATTATAGAGACCTGAAGATGTACTTGTGTGAATATGTTGTTAACTTCATCGACCAGGTTGTAGATCTGCTCCCTGCTCATCACGCTGGAGCTATTCATGGGGTTTTGATTGTTGAGGTAGTTCGAAACCTGGATAGATAAATGGATGGATGGACGAATGAATGGTTGGACAGAGAGATGAATGGATAGACGGATGAATAGTTGATTGATTATTATTATTTCATTGGTTGACTGATTGATTAATTACTTGTTATTTTACTGTAAGAATTTCTGTTAAAATGAATCGTTCAGTTAATGGTTCGTTTCAAAGTTCAATCCTCCCATCCACAACAGCCAATTTCAATTGCTTATTCATTTCCTCAATCAAACTATTTTCATTCCTTCACTGACCTCGTTAACCTGCCTCGCCAGCGAATCAGATTGCGCGGAGGATGACAAGTGTAGCAAGCGGCTGTTTATGCTCTCAAAAACCTGCACGAATGACCAAAAAATTCTGTGGCTACGATCCCTCATCATCAATTATTTAATTAATTAATCAATGAATTAATTAATTCATTCATTCATTCACTTATTCCTTCATATACCTACTAATTAATCAATTCATTTATTTATTTAAGCATTAATTTATCCATTCCTTTATCAACTGACTCATTCACTCGAAGTCCTTCAAGTAACCGTTTTGCTTCAAAAAATACACTAAGTCATAATACTTTTACGACTCTGAGCTTGCTTACAAAACAACACATGTAAATCAAGCTCAATAAGATGTCAAATCTGATTTGAAAGGATCTCTTTCATTATAAATATCATTAAAAATCATTTGTTGCTTTGGAGCATTCCACCAAGAACTCAATAACTCAATCAATCAATAATTCATTCATTCATTTTCATTCACTCAATCAATCAATGAATTACTCATTTATTTATTCGTTCATTAGTTCAATCAATAAACCAACCAACAAACTAACTGACCAACCAACCAACTAACTGACCAACCAACCAATCAATCAACCAACCAACCAACCAACCAACCAACCAACCAACCAACCAACCAACCAACCAACCAACCAACCAATCAATCAACCAACCAATCAATCAACCAACCAATCAATCAACCAACCAATCAATCAACCAACCAATCAACCAACCAACCAACCAACTGACCAACCAACCAACTGACCTGCAGGTAAAAATTAAACCTGTTATCCTTCATGAGATCTTCAAAGATCTCAAGAGGGACGTGATCACAATTCTCCAGGGCCTCTATACCTTCTATGCAATCCAATATTACTTGACCACCCCCTACAATTAAATGGTACAGTATTAATATACTGTTCATCATATGAAAAGATAATGAACTTTTTGTTTTTTTTTTCTCGATCAACCTTATAATTTTCTTCTATTTATGTCATTATTTGTTGCATAAATTATTTGAAATTATTGAATAAAAAGAATTTGATTGATTTGATATAAAAAATATATTAGACGCATGTTACCAATGTCAGATGGCAATCCTTCCATCTCATTGGTTGCTTCGTGACCAATAGACTGATTCTCAATAGTCGGCAGTGACCAATGACAGTCGAGTATTGTTGACACGATTGAATCCTATGCGTTTCACAATGAAGTTTTCAATGGAAGCACATCAGTCAGTTCAACAACTAATATTTCCACCTCACTTATCATTTCGTCATCGTCATGGCCATCATTATTACCACAACACCATTCTCATCGTCGTCATCCTCCTCATCCTCATCATCATCCTCCTTCAGTCATCATCATCACCATCATCATCATCACCTTCAGTCCTCTGTACTCATTGAACTTGAGCATGCACTTTACCGTTTCTGACAGATGAAGTTTGGGGACGTGGCTGCGTTCCTGATGATGATGATAATAATAATAATAAAATAATAATGATGATGATATTAATCACATAACCACAAAAGAACTTCATACGTTTCATGCTCTCAAAACACTTTGCGCTCACATGTGAGGTCTCATAGGCCTCAACTTATTCGACACCACTGAACCACTCATCACATCATCTCGCTCGTCAAACATGCAGCTCCTTCTTGGTTGGTCTGGCTTCGCTACACTACATCAACTTCAACAACCACATCAACTTCAAACATCAACTTCAACAACAACATCAACTTCAAGCATCAACTTCAAACATCAACTTCAACAACCTCAATCTCTCATCAAAAATCAAGACAAATAATTGGTCCAACTTACTCTTCTATCAGCCAAATATTAAATAAGCTCGCTTCCAGATTATTCAAGAGATAGATACAAATCTTGTTATCCATCCATCTCTACAGTCGCCAAAATAACTACCATTCACAATCTTCGTCAGTGAAATCATAAATATCAAATGACCACTCAAGCGACCAATCAAGAAGTAACGCTAATTCTTCTCAAGTGCAATTCATACTTTTCTCTTCCTGTAAGCTTTTTCTTTATAACTACGCGCCGACACTCCAGCATGCAACAATGGTTTATAATCTGGTGAAAGGTGCCTACTTGCTTACTTGTGTTTGCATTTATTAATTCACTTTCATCATTATTCTATTTTGATCTGGGCGGCGTGATGGCTCAATGGTTAAAGGCGCCTGGTCTTGCTATTGCAATGACTGGGTTCGAATACAAAGAGATCCCCGCCTATCATATGCAATGTGTATGATGGGTGATTTGCACGCGTATTCATATCCGCTGTGTGTGTTTGTCGTTGAAACCTCTGAAGCAAACACAAAAGAGAGAGAAAAACCTTTAACCGTTTTAACCTTTATTAATAGTCGAGTATATATATATATATATATGTGTGTGTGTGTGTGTGTGTGTGTATTAATGTGTTTGCAATATGCAAGTATGTATGCATATGAATTCACGAGTTCACAAATGCATATGTATATGTGCATGCATGCATGTGTACACACAAGTGGAATAGTGTGAATGTTGGCATAGAATGCGTCCGCATGCATGATCAATGTATGAATGAATGACTGAATGAATGAATGAACGAACATAAATGTGCGTGTTTCCACGGAGGGAGGTTTCCGTCTTTATTAACTTTTTTTTCCAAACAGCAGTTGTTGCCTTCCGCCATTCATAGCTTCTTCTTTCCCCAATAATTTTATCATCTCATTTATTTCCTGCACTTGTCTATTTTTGTTAATTTTAAATTAACTCAATTAACCTTCCATAAATTTCTATTTATTTTTATATTTCATTAATTTCATAATTTTTATCTTCTTTTGAGGTTCTGCTGCGTCTGTCTGAGTCTGATTATTTTTGAATAATAATAAGAAGAAACACTAAATAATAAAATACACATTCCATAGAATACATTTTTTCCGAACAACTGTACCTCACATTACACTATTCGCATTCGTTTACATTTTATTCTTCAATCACTCACTCAATAACACCTTCCTTCACTTACTCACTCATTAACTCATTCATTCACTCATTAACTCACTCATTCACTCACCAACTCACTCATTCACTCACTGACTCACTCCTTCACTCACTAACTCACTCATTCACTCACTACCTCACTCACTCATTCACTCACTGACTCACTCCTTCACTCACTCATTCACTCACTGACTCACTCCTTCACTCACTAACTCACTCATTCATTCACTCAATAACTCACTCACTCATTTACTCAGTAACTCATCAACTCACTCATTCACTCACTAACTCGCCCATTCACCCACCCAACAACCACTCATTCCATCACTCACTCACTCACTAACTCACTCACTCACTCATTCACTCACTCACTCAGGCACTGACCTTGATCCAGGGGTGAGCGAGGGCTTCATCGGCAGTGATCCTCCTCGTGGGGTCAACGTCCAGCATCCTCCTTATCAGATTCTTCGCCTCCTCAGATATCACATCCCACTGTCGTCCTGTTAACTGAGTGGTGGTGATGATTACGATGACTCTATGACAACGGTGATGATTGTGATGGCGATGATGACAGAGATGAGATGATGGTGACGCTGGTCGTGATTTCATTACAAAAGTACAACAACAATGACCGTAATAGTTTAACAACGACGACGATGACGATGACGACGATGATGACAGCAGTAGTAAAAGTATTATGACGTATGATGGCATGGCTAAACAAACATCCACACAAAATGAATGAAATAAAAAAAGAACACAAGAACCGACGCTGTAGACTCCATTGAGGGCAGCCCTATCTCTTTGTTCTCTCTCCCCAAGAAAGGGAGGGTAGCCGGACAGGAGGGTATAGAGGATGCACCCAGCCGACCACACGTCCACAGGTTTGCCATAATATGCCATCTGGATCATCTCGGGTGAGGGGAAAGTGGAACTGCTCAAGTAACCTGTCAGGATTTTGGGATGGATGACGTTTCGAAGGTTGATGATGCTTCGGAGGTTGATGATGTTTAGAGCCAATAGTGTACTGATATCGATGATCATCATCAAACCAACCAAATTTATCTTTCTCAGTGCAGATGATGGGCTGTCCATGCCTGTATTCTTCTTCATCTATAGCTGTTCATAACAATGGTGGCAGACGTAAGCAGTGATGATGAAATAACGAATATATATTGAGGCAAAAGATAGCGAAAATGACAAAAAAGTTAACCATCAAATCACACATCGTCGTTACATCACAACATAATCTCTACAATCTCTACACCACATCCCACAACACACCACACCACGCCATCCCAATCCCATCCCTACCATATTCCTGAGTGTTCTCGAGTTCTTCAATGCAGGTGGCCCCCTCGAAGGAGCAAATCTTGACGGGGGAGGAGTTCTCCTTGCTGGCCAGGCAGAGGCAGCTCATTGTCAGACGTCTGTGGATGATGTCCTTACTGTGGATGAATCTGATGCCTTCCAATATCTGCTTCATGTAGTGGCTGATGGCGTGATGGGGATGAAGAAGATGACGATGTGGGTGATGATCAAAATGAAGATGACGATGATGAAGATGATAATGATAAAGAAAATGATAACGAAGAAGATGATGAGGATAATGTTAATTTTAATGGTAAGGAGGAGTAATGGCATAGAAGATGGTGTGGGTGGGTGAGTATGGTGGAAATGTGGGTGAGTATGGTGGAGGTAAGCAAAATAGAATTATGACAATGATGCTTTAAGGAAATAAAACATTTGAATTGAATTGAATGAGAAGAGTGATAAATAAAATGATGATGATGACGATGACGACGATGATGATGAAAAAGAATGATAATGAGTTATCAAATGCTAACAATTCTAAGAATAAAAATTAATACAGAAGTATGATGATTCTATAGGAACGAACAAAATGCAAAAATTGAAGAACAGATGGTGGATGTGACGCAGAAAATATGTCAAGAGAACTGGTGAATTATCATTCTGAAGACAATAAACCAATTTTTTTTCGTTTATATTGTTTTTTTTTCTGCAGGGAAGGATTGGATTGGGACTGGGTTGATTAACATTTTGAGTTTAATGGACCACATTTTCATCGTATCAATATATTTTTCACTTTCGCTCCTGCTCCTACTTGAATACCAGCCAATGATTTCTAAGCGGCAGGCACTCGTTGTTATTATATTACATTGTTAAGAGATAATTACAAAAAAAATGCCATTACAACTAGTCCTCTATCTTTTATGCATTGTTGGTCTCATTACAACTATTGCAATAGTAACTGTCCCTTTTGCCACAAATTACAACCACATTTGAGAAGATAACTAACAATTAATTGAGTGTTCCTACTACAAAAATCGAAACTACAACTCCAACAAAATGATGATGATTAAAATGTGTAAATCACTAATACTGTTCATTAAAAATATTACTGCAACAAATACTAAACTACTACTGGTACACAGAAAGCTACTACTTCAACTACAGCAGCCACCGCTATAATAGAAAAAAATCAAAAATTACCAAAACACTAAGAAGTTATTTGCACATCAACAAATAAACCACTACTAGGACAATTACTATTAAAATAACTACATACACAACTTAGTACTGAAAATATTACAAGAATTACTAAACTACTGAAGTTACAGCAGCTGCTGCTACCACTACTACTCACCTGGCGACAGCTTCACTGTACACAAATCCTGACGATGCTCTGCTAACTATCTCCAAGCATAAGTCGGAACCTTCCAAACTGATGATGATGATAGTGGTGATAGTAGTTACAAAGATGATGATAGTGGTGATGATAAGTGATGAAATGATGATATTGATGAAGATGATGATACTATGATAGCGATAGTGATGATGATGATGAAAATAATGAAAATTTTAACGACGAAGAAGATGACGACGACGATGATGATAATGATAAAGACGATGATGAAGTGATGATTGTGTCAATGAAATATAGAATAATCCCCATTTGTTAAAAATCTCACCTTAATCATCATCATCTTAATCATCATCATCAACAAGAACATAATCACCATAATCGCCATCACCATCTACTAACTGATTATATAGGATGTAGTAGTACTCATCACTGTTGTAGATCTCCAGCATGGGCTGCACCAGGGGGTGCTTCAAATGCACCGACACCTCTTCCTCCCTCTTCAAATCTAAAATTATTATTATTGTTATTATTATTATTGTTTTTGTTGTCATTATTGTTGTCATTATTATTTTAATTATTATTGATTTTATTGATTCAGCCACATTAATTATATTAAATGTATATTAATAAAATTAATCATTTATTCTATATTCCATATTCCATATTTCTGATATTATTTATTTATTTTTTTATTTAATTATTCAATTAGGATTTTACAATTTTTATTAGTTAATCAATTGCTTTTAATTAATTAATTAATTAATTTAATTAATTAAACCATGGCAAATAAATTTCAAATAAATCATATTGCAAATTAACAATTAACATTAACATTGCAATTTTTGGAAATTGATAAACAGATTAATATAAAGTTTCAAGAATTTAACATCTGTGGAAATATAATTGCTTGTCACCTCAATTAAAATAAATTATAAACAAACTAATTAATAAATAACAAACTAACTAGTTAATTAATTAATTGAGTAAAAACAATTTTATTTAAAATTTTAATTTTTATTAATAAATTCATCTATTTTTTATTTATTATTATTATTTATCAAATTTTTTTTTTATTATTTTTGGATATAGTAATAAATCAAATGAGCAGACGTTTCCTTAGTATTTCCTGTTGCTTCTGGTTGAAATTGGACAAGCTGACGATCTTCACGGCGTACAGCTGCCCTGTCTTACGACTCGAGCACCTCTTCACGATCACATTTATTCCTCTGAAATTTTATTTTTATTAAACTTATTTATTAATTTTAATCATTATCATTAAATTAAATTAAATTTTTTTTAATTATTATTAAACATCAATTAATTTAATAATTAAATACCAAATAATTTTAATTATTGGCTATCTATTAATTTAATTATTGAAATTAATTATTCAATCATTATCCAATAATATCTAGCACTACACTTTTATAAAAGATAAAGTCACTTTAATATATTATCTATGAATCTAACTTGGCTATGTCGTCTCCCAAGTCATAATTATCAAGGAATAATTCTTCCATTATTCCTGTAGATTTTTATTTATTTATATTTCTTAATTTTTAATTATAATAATTAAAAATAATACTTTTAATTCTATTTTTTTTAGACCTCACAGACAAAGAGAGCATGTCACACATGTGATTATGTGTGTACGAGTATGTATATGCATTGCATGTGAGAAGCGAGGATAGCCTTACATTCCAACCTAGTTGTTGTTGCCCTGCTTCGGACATCTGCCTGAAAATTCAGGCCTGGTTGGAGCCAGTTCACCACTGCTAACAGGTTTTGCCAGAGATCCATTGTTGGAAGACACGTCGAGTTGCTGGGGCAGCTAAATAGATGGAGAACAGATGATGTTGGCAGAGAGGGCATTTATTTAGAATCTGTTAAGTAAGATGCAGTGACCAGAGTGGAATTGGGCCAATGTTCTTTTTAACACTCTGAGCAACTTTTCTTCTGCCTTATTTATATCGGGGGTTGGGAGTGGCCACCCATTCAATAGCACCACAGCTTCTGAGGCGTGTTTGGCGGTGTTTCTGTGTAGGGTGACTGATGCCTTTAGCGAGGTGCTGATCACTACAGACCCAACAAATGGCCTCAACCAGAAAAGACCGGCTCATCGTACCATCCTTACTGCCCTGAAACTTATGATAGCCTTCGACACTGTTTGCCATTAGACTCTGCTTTCAGATAGACTGACATCAATGCTCCAAAGGTCATTGGTTCACTGAGTACTGAATTATCTACACTGCTATTCCAACCTAGTTACAGACTGCTATGGAGTGGCAGTAGCTGTTTTCTTGAACATTACCAAATCATCCTGCTCAATCAACCAATCAATCTTCGTTTAGCATTAGCGTTAGCAATCTTCGATACTGCCCATTGCATATTATAAACTAATTTTTCAATATGGCATGAATATTATTACCAATAGGAGTATAGTTAAGTAGTAAGTAAAAGAGAAGGAGAGTTAGTAAAAAGTAATGTAGAGACAGAAAGTAGTAAAAAGAGTATAGATTTTAACTAATATATTACACATTATTTAAAGTATTATTTTACTAATAAAATAGTAAAATCATCAAATAATTCTAAAATAAAAAATTTAAAACACTGTAGGTGTCAGTACAGAAAATAGTTTTTATTTTTAGTTTTTTTAATTTTTATTTTTATTTTTAGTTTTTTTGTTAAATAAAAAAGTTTAAAATAAAAATGTAAATAAAAGATGACTACAAATAACATTGGACAAACAGAAGAACAGAACATAATCAAAGTCAAATCAAATCAAAAATCAAAAAATTCCATATTAACTTATTAATTTACTAACCACTTCCACTATCATTCGGTTCAATTTACAATGACTGAATGAACTTACTTTTTTAATTTAATTTTATTATATTCTAATAAAATTTAAAAATTAATATATTTAAATTCAAAAATTAAATTCAAAATTTGTGAAATGAAGCAGTGATCACAACTTGCAATTTGTTAAATTTTTTAATATATATAATTATTTATTAAGATAAACTGATAAACAATATAATTATGCAAACAACATTCAATTTATTAGCTATAATTTGATCTATTAATTTATTTTTTTTTATAAAATTAAAAGCTAAAATATTAAAAACTAAAAATTTACACTAGTATTTTGATTTTATTTTAGATTTAGAGAGTTATTAATAATTAATCAAACTAGAATCGCAAAGATTTTTATAAAAAAAAAAATATATTATATGATTTAAAAATAGCAGAACTCATCAGAAACCTCCGTCAAACGTTGAAAAATGAATTATTAGTTGGAACTTTTGACGAAATATTCGCTCGGCACTTGCTACGATGTTTACTTCTTAAAGTGCATTTAGTATAAAGGCTAAAAAAGTGTGGAAAGCTCGAGATATTTTAAATTTGACTTTAAAGGTCAGAGGTTAAAGGTTTGATGTCGTCGTCAGTGACACACGAAAGTGTCATGACCAACAACACACGCACAACGTACATAAATACATAAGGCAATCAACAATTTATGTTTTATTTTTTAATGGGCAGTTGAAATCGATAATAATAATAATAATAATAAATTATATAGATTGAGACTTATTCATTAATGTGCAAATTTAAAAAATTATTCTATATTTTAATTTTTAAAATTTGCACGTTAATTTTACACGTAACTCATTCTTCTCATTTTTTGACATGCTTTCTAGCTTTTTCTTTCAAATTCTATTTTCATTAAAACATTGGTAGATATATCTAATGTCTAAAATGTTCAATTTAAATATTTCATTTTGCAAGCCGGTGGTTACTTGTGGTTTCGTTTGACATCCTTGGATTAGTACAACAACTTCATCCACCACTTCATTTCAAGAACATTCCATCTTTTCTGTCTCTCTTACTTATTGCGCTGATTTCGCGATGGCTTGAAACTTTTGTGAGCAAACATGGTGTGAATCTTGAATGCTTTTTTATGAAGATATGCAGTACATATTTCTTGTGCAGTAGCTGTTTTTAAATGCAAATATCTTCTGAGCATCTTCTATCGCTGTGCATAGCACTACCGACTCTGTTTTAAATTATGCACTGTCTCCCTTTCTTTCTGAAATCATCAATTTTGTTTCGTTTTTGTTGATACGAAATCAACAATCTTCACCAACTCAAGCACCAGTCTGTGGACTATAGGAGATTAATAACGTGAATCAATTCGTTTTCTTAACCATAGTTGTATTATGTGCAGTTTTAATGATGGAATTGCTTTCTTGTGGTTTATTGACCTTGTACACTGGGGTAATGATTTTATTTTCTAATACTGCCAGCACATCCTACTTACTCTCAGGCATCTACATGTTCAATGGCATATTTCGTTTTGTATATTTGTTATTTTCATGTGGTTCTGAGCTTTCAACTTCTCTTCATTGAGTGCTAACGAACAAATTTTTCACATATTAGAGTTATCGAACCCTCTTAAAAGATTATCCAAAATTTCCAGATTTCTGTCGCTCTGTTCTGTGTTGTTGAAAACAGTAGCTGTGTAGTGATTACATGTTTAGTAAATATAACATCAAAAAATTATCGATATATAGGAAATTTATCGGATCATCACCAAGATATTACCGGGAAACTATCTGAATATAAAAAAATCGATATATAGTTCGATAAGTATCAATAATCGTTACGTCAACAAACTTATCGTTGACATCGGAAAGTAACCGGTTCGAAAAATAATTCAGTACCGATTTTCGATATCGCTACTGAAAATTGTGATCTTCTTTATTGGGAATATCGATGCTGATCAAGAGTTCAATAATTTTCGGTTGGTACAACCATTCGTGAATGCCAATTACATCTCTTCTATTACACTGCTGCTGCTACTACAACTGCTTCATCAACTGCTAACACTACTCTCACTATTACTACTATGTATTACTACTTCTGCTACTACTACTACAACCACAACCTGCTGCTGTTGTTGCTGTTAATGTTATTATTATTAAAAAAGACATTACCAAGCAAAGAATGAAAGAAAACATAAAAAATCTAATTATCCGCAAACAAAAAGAATCAGTAGTTCTAGAGAACAAAGAAAAAAAACAACAAAGAAAAAACAGCAGAAGGAAAAACAAACAAAATGGCGACCGGAAATCACTGATGCATTGAGCATGATGAGATCATCTCGGAACAATAAAGTGGCATTTTAACCATGTACTAAATATGAATGCATAGAACGGGTGAGTGATCTGCTTGGTTGGCTGGTTGGCTGGCTGGTTGATTTGTTGATTGTTTTGTTGGCTGGTTGATTTGTTTATTGATGGATTTAATAGTAAGTTCAATGATTGGTTGGTTGGCTGGCTGGTTAATTTGTTGATTGTTTCGTTGGCTGAGTTGATTTGTTTATTGATGGATGTGATAATTATTTCAATAGCTGGTTAGTTGAATAATTAGATTGTCTATTGGTTTTTTAATTGATTAGTTAATAAATAATTAATAATAAATAATATCAACTTTTATTAAGACGATGATTTTGATAAAATAATGAAGATGATGAAAATGATAAAGATGGCAAAAATGACGATGATGATGAGGAAGATGATGGTGATGATAGTGACGACGATGATGAAATTGATAAAAAGGAGGCTAATGATAATGATAATGTGAAAGCATTCGCTGTATGGAGATTAACGTTGCATGCAACATACATACATACATACATACATACATACATACATACATACATACATACATACATACATACATACATACATACATACATACATACATACATACATACATACATACATACATACATACATACATACATACATACATACATACATACATACATACATACATACATACATACATACATACATACATACATACATACATACATACATACATACATACATACATACATACATACATACATACATACATACATACATACATACATACATACATACATACATACATACATACATACATACATACATACATACATACATACATACATACATACATACATACATACATACATACATACATACATACATGAAGGAAACGATGGACATTTTCGAGGACGCCGGTTGCACCTCTCAAATTCTTGGAAAGAACAGACAGAGTTATGTTTCTGTCCACAGTACGTAATAGGACAGCACAGCCGTCATCAGATTTGAATGATCACTTATTAAGTTGATGCCACGAAAAACTGTGGATCTTTTTTCA